CACAGCTGCCTCTCAATCAATGCTAACAAGTGAAAATATGAAGCACGTTTTCATCTTTTTCAGATGAATCATGAAAACATAAAGCACAGTCGCTGTTTAGGTGTCGCTGATGGGTCATGTCAGTTCAACATCTGATCATTGGCTAAGCATTGGCGTTACCTGGGAAACAGATGAGGAGAAATGTAAACAAGCTGACTTTGCCAGAAATAATTAGGACTTTGTTTAACCTTTTATTTATTATATAGTTCAGCAAATGTAGACACACACACACACACACACATACACACACACATATATATATATTTTGACCTTTTTACATTTGTAGATGTCTGATTTAACTAAATGGGTGATCTTTAAATAAAAATCAAATGTTTTCCATGTAAATCTAAAGAGATGGGATAAGGGGAAAAAACTAAATGTGTTATCAGAGTAGGTAAGCTAGGCAGGTAAAATGAAAATCTGAAATTAAACATCTTGTCTGTCGGTAGTATCTGCAGCTTCTGATCTTCAGTTGTCAGTCACTCTGACTCGTCTGCTTCTTTCTGTGTAAATCATCAGCAGGAAACCTAATTAAACAACTATTCTGTTATGACAATTTCTCAACTAAAGCAGACTTTGTCTTTGTCCATTTTCCTAAAATCAAAGCGACTCAAAATAAAATTCAAGGTTACAATATAGCTCAAAAAACACCCATTGGCCTATTTAACATTATATGTATAAGGTTTCATGGAATTTAATACGATAAGTGCAAAAACTCTAAATGAAGAGTACAGTTTAAAAGACGTACAGCAGTGCATAAGTGCAAAGGAAGCTACGAGATAGCCTGTGCCAGGAAAGCTATAGCCATTTAAATTCTAAAGTGAAGAGGTGCTTCATTCATTTTTTTCCCCAGAGAAGCTGGAGAAACACAATATCAGAGTGTTATATGTGCAGCGTCTACAGAGCTGGAGTCAAACGTTATTTAGCTTAGATCAGCCCAGTGAAGACGAGAAATAAAAACAGGTAGCCTTACTGTACAAAGATCTAAAATACAACCAGTCCCTCTAAAGGTAATGATACACATATTTCATCTCACTCTCAAAAATAAATCAAATGATTATCGTTACTTTGAAACAGTTAACAAATTATTTTTTTGGCTGAGAAAGATCCTCTTAAGTTATCCTCTTGAGAGGTTGAAAAGAAGGCAACTGAACTTCCTGGTTCATTCCAAGGAGAAAACACCAAACACTGGTTGAACAACACAGCATATGCAGTGAGGAGTGCTCAGACGTAGGAGAAACCAAACAGCCACTCCACAAACACTTGGTACAGCATAGGAGAGCCACCTGAGCAGCACAAGATCCAGCCGTACACCTGCATTTAAAGGAGAACGAATACTCTTTTGAGGATGCCAGTGTTCACATTGGTGTGGATGTGAACACTAGCAAAGAAGACAGATGGTTTGAGAGAAGTAAAGCAGGTCATCTATGCCCACTATGAATGTCCACTGTTGAACAGAGGTGTTGGTTTATGACACTAGCGATCAGCCACCTATCTTGAGATCCCTTCACAGGTGTTTCAACTTCCA